AAATAACACAGTACTTGGATTTTGTTCATTTAAAAATACCCAGCTTTCCCTAATATTTTAATGTAAATATTATTCAAACATTCTTTAAAATATTTTATATTTAAATATTGGTAATATCAAAATAATAAGTCATAATTCCTTGATGGGCAAAACAGCTCACATTCACATAAACATCTAAATTCACTCAAAAGTAACAGAAATAAATTAAGCATGAATTTCTGACAAAGACTCTTCTTGAAGGATCACTTTTACAAAATTTTCAGTATGTGTAATTTCTAGGGCTAAAGCTTTCATCATATTTTCAAATGTTTCTGACTTTAAAAATGACAGAACCTCTACTCCAAAAAATTCAATGTTAGTTTTGATTTCTAAAATCAGAAAGAATGGTAACTTGGCATTGGCACTACTTAAATCACATTTTCTGTCCCGTTGTATTGAGACTGACTTAGTCACCTCTTAGCTGTTTACATTACTTCATCCTTTGCTGACTAACCGGCTGGCCTTATTAGTGGTTACAAAAACCAGTATGCCCTCAAGCCCCACCCATACATGAATGGCCATTCAATGTTTCTCTTTGCCAATCACTACTGAAACTGTTCCTTAGGACATTTCAAATTTTTCTTTACTTGGGACAAAAAGTAACACTACTCACTTTATTCACTAGATTTATTTCTGGAACATTTGTGGCTGCTTCTTGATTATGCTGGTTATGACTTGTCACCAGTGAGGCTTTCTGAAAGAAGGCAACTCCCAAAGCAGAGTTCCAACACGTTCTGCACAATAGCAGCATTGTTGGTGTAACCTACCAAACCGACTACTTAAAGGACAACAATCACTGGGTATAATAATTTTGAAAACAAGTTTTTTTAACTCACATTCCCGTCTTCATATCCTTCATACACTGACATTCTTTTGCAAAGCCACTTTTCAAACAAATCAGCATTACACAGACATTTTAGGGACCAGAGTATTCATTCACCTTAGCAATGACACTGATACTGAGTGCCGAGTATATAAATCTAAAGAATATAATCACTGCTTCTAACTGCAATGTTTAAAACTTATTCTAATTCTGTAAAGGTATGCTAGTTCCTTGGCTGTTACTGGGTATATAAGAGTACAGTATCCAAACTGAAAGAAAGCTTTCTTTTTTTTTTTAAGTATATTTTATTGATTATGCTACTACGGTTTCCCAATTTTTCCCCCTTTATTCCCCCTCTGCCTTGTACCCCCTAACCCTCCAGCATTCTCCCACTTAGTTCATGTCCATGGGTTGTAAACATAAGTTCTTTGAATTTTCTATTTCCTATACCATTTTTGACCTTTCCCCATCTACTTTATGCCTACCAATTATACTTCTTATTCCACATACCTTCCCCCCATTCTTCCCCTTCCCCTCCCCACTGAACAACCTCCATGTGATGTCCATTCCTCTGATTCTGTTCCTGTTCTAATTGTTTGCTTAGTTTTTGTTTTTTGTTTTTTCCAGGTTCATTTGTTGATAGTTGTGAGTTTGTCATTTTACTGTTCATAGTTTTTGATATTCTTCAATTTCTTAGATAAGTCCCTTTAACATTTCATATAGTAAGGGCTTGGTGATGATGACCTCCTTTAACTTTACCTTATCTGGGAAGCACTTTATCTGCCCATCCATTCTAAATGATAGCTTTGCTGGACAGAGTAATCTTGGATAGAGGTGCTTGCCTTTCAAGACTTCAAATACTTCTTTCCAGCCCCTTCTTACCCGTAAGGTTTCTTTTGAGAATCAGCTGATAGCCTTAAGGGAATTCCTTTGCAGGTAACTCTCTCCTTTCCTCTTGCTGCTTTTAAGATTCTCTCTTTATCTTTAATCTTGCGTAACTTAATGATGATGTGCCTTAGTGTGTTCCTCTTTGGGTTCGACTTCCTTGGGACTCTCTGGGCTTCCTGGACTTCCTGGGAGTATATTTCCTGGGAGACTGGGGAAGCTCTCCTTCATTATTTATTCAAATAAGTTTTCGATTTCTTGCTATTGTTCTTCTTCTGGCACCCCTATAATTTGGATATTGGAATGTTTCTGGTTGTCTCAAAGGTTCCTAAGCTTCTCTTCATTTCTTTGAATTCTTGTTTCTTCATTCTGTTCCGGTTGAATGATTATTTCTTACTTTTGTTCCAAATTGTTGATTTGAGTCTTGGTTTCCTTCCTGTCACTGTTGGTTCCCTGAATATTTTGCTTTATTTCACTCTGGGTATCTTTCATTTGCTCTTTCATTTTGTGACAAAGCTCAATGAGTTCTGTAAGCATTTTGATTACCAGGACTTTGAACTCTCCATCTGATAAGTTGGCTTATCTCCTTATTGCTTAGCTTTCTTTCTAAAGTTTTGCTCTGTTCTTTCATTTGGGCCTAGTTCTTTGTCTCAGGGCACCTGATAAGCCGTAAGGGGCTGGGCCTTAGGTATGCCACAGGGCAGAGCAACTGTCCTTGCTGTGCAGCTTGTTTGTGGGGGAGCGGCCAGAGAGGAGACAGTGTGGCTTGCCTATTCGTCTCTAGCGCACTTTCCAATGGACTCTCATGTGAGACTGGGAGTTTCTCCCACTGTGAAACCCCCATGGTCCAGCCCTGAGTCTGTTTCACCTTTAGCCAGCCCCGCCCACGCTGTCCACCACCTTGCCACAGGTTCTCTCTGTCCGCCCATCTTACCGGTCTGGTTGGTCTGTTGGACTATTTCTTTAATTACTTGGTTGTCGGAGTCCCATGTAGTTTGATTTTCTGGCACTTCTGGTAATTTATTGATTTTAGATTGGTTGTTATCCTCTTTTTGGTTGTGCGACGAAGCGAAAGGTTTCTACCTAGGCCTCCATCTTGGTGGAAACTCCTCAGAAACCTTTCTTTATAATCTTTTTTTAAAGTCTCTTAAGTTAACTTACATAATACATGGCACCTTAGTTCTCAAACTTAATTCATTCCAGAAGGCCGTTCAAGAAACAATTTGTTCAAAAACCAAATCATTTTTTTCCCATTAGAAATACAGTATCAGCATGAAAAGTTTGTCAAGAACCAAAGTTTTGTTTAACAACTGAGACATTTTTTTCCACAAACAACTTGGTTAAGAAACAGATTATTCAAGGTTGGGAGATGCCTGAGAACCAAGGTTTGATGGTAAGCATAAATTTGAAAGTAACTAAACAATCTATTCATTATATGTAACTTTATAATCCCAAAGCAGTATTTTTTAAATCAAAGCAACCTGTTAACAACAATTACAGCTGTTAAGTGGGACTAGCAGGAATAGATGAAGAGGGAGACTTTTTATTTTTTACTTTAAATACTTTAGTACTGATTAAATATTTAAACAATTTTAGTTTAAAAAAATCCTAAATTTGCCCTGGCTGGTGTAGCTCAGTGGATTGAGCGCGGGCTTGCGAACCAGAGTATCACAGTTTGATTCCCAGTCAGGGCACATTGCCTGGGTTGCAGGCCAGTTCCCAGCAGGGGACACATGAGAGGCAACCATACATTGATATTTCCCTCCCTATCTCCTTCCCTTCCTCTCTAAAAATAAATAAATAAAATCTTTAAAAAAATTCTAAATTAAAAAAAGGGCACAAGTATAAAATCAAGACTCTCCACACTCATTTTTGGTTTTACACCCTGTCATCCCCACCTCTAATCTCCTTCCAGACTGTAGCACTCTGAGAGCTGAAGCCTTGTGCATCTCCTATAGCACTGTATCTCACACAGAGCCATCCCCATAGCTGACTGCCATGAAAGCAGATGTTTAGAGGTGAAGGCAACGGGAATAGGAGGAATCAACAAGCCCTGAAGTGAGCATTAAAAATAGCACTTCTATTTAGAAGTGCCGGGATCAAAGTTTTGCCATCCGAAGCTGCTTTGGGATATTGATATTAAGCTGTATATTAAGAAACAAGACTCAGAAAGAACCTTTGACCCTTCCCCTTCTTGCCTATGAGATCTAGACAGAAAGGCCTACTCCAAGGAGGGAATTTTGTTTTAGCTTAATCTGAATTAAGTATGGTAAATAGGAGGGCTTCAGGCAGGGGATTGTTAGCCTGTGTCCCCTTCTGTCTGAGCTGTCCAGCAAGAACCTTCCTGCCGTGGGTGTTCCCCTCTTCCTCAAGTACCTATAAGTCACCTCACTTCTGAAATCTAAGACCCTATTCCCCTCACTTTTTCTCTTTTGTTCAAATTATCATATATACCCAGTGCTGCCTCATTGTTTTTGAAATTTTCATGCTTATGAGTTTCCTGTATGCATTTATTAAAATTTGATTTTCTCCTGTTAATCTGTTTCTGTTAATTTGATTATAAGCCCATCTAGAAGAACTTAGTGGGAGAAAAAGTGTTATATTTTTAATCTCTATTAGAAAGTAGACTTTAGAATAAAAATATCCACTATGTTCTCCCTTTGAAATTCCGGTTAATATTTATTCACAACTCTATTCACTCTGATCCTTAAACATTTAGGTCTCAATTTGAATGGAATGGCCAGAGTACTCCTCTATAGAGCAAATGCTTAGGTCACCATTACCACAATTTTGAGAACATTACCCTGAGTATTATGTACAAAGTCCAAGGCAAGGACCTAACTCTGGTTTGACATTCTGCTTTTGGAACTTCATTATTATTGTTTCTAATCTCTGAATTCAATTCTATACCTTCCTACCCAACAAACTCACTTCATATTTGGCCACTATTCTCAATAACTTATCACTTTCTCCATGGAGCCCATACACTTAAGCTTCAGCTGAATCTTAGGTCATGAGTTACATAATATAGGTGCCTACACTGGTACTAGGCAGATACTTTAAGTACAGGGCATGGTTTAAGAAATAAAAGAAATAATGATAACATAACACTTCTCAGTGCCAGACTGTGAGTTTATAAAAAATGATGTAGGTAAAATGAGTTCTGAACTGTAAAATGCAATGCTATGAAAAAAGGCCATGGGTTTAAATGAGGTCAAGGAGAACTAATGCATGAAAGCTGCTGTTGACAAACCTGTCCCAAATTTGCTGAAGGGGTGTTTGGGATTCCCCGTAGCTTTTTCCAACTGAAAGAGTCTCCAAGCATCGTTCATCACGTTCTTCTCATGTTCTGAATCAACTGCATTCACCTCTCTGTCTTTGCAACTCTCATCGAACAAGGGGCACAGAAAAAACTGTGCAAACCTAAGGGTGTGAAACATAATTTGAAAGCTATTATTTTCAAAAAGTGGCCTTCAAAAATGTTTAAAAATTAACAGATAGGATATGTGAAATCTACAGAACCAGATAAAAATTACTATTGCTACTAAGAAAAAAGTAACACAAATAGAAGAAAACGTACTGGACATATGTAAATTCAGAAGTCAATCTATTCTAAAGATGTTATGTAATTAGTGAAAATATAAAAAGATTAACACCTTTGTTTCAGAAACCAGTTCCCATGTGTTTTTTTCTATACCACCAAACAATTCTCTGACACCAACTGAATATGCCACCATTCAGCTCAATTATGATACTATCTACCTAAAAATCAGATGCTCAGTCCTACAAGACTGTCCCCTTCACACACAAATTGAAAGTCTGGTTGTCACCTAGGCTTCTGACCAACCCTCTGAACAACAGATCCAAGGATTCTACAACTTCCTCCTCAGTTCAATTAATTTACCAAAGCATCTCACAGAGCTCAGAGAAACATTTTACTTATGTAGGGAACCGTCCTGCCTGGTTTCAGAAGCTGTAACCTCACTAACAGGTGAGAAGGTCCCACAGCTAGGGCTAAGCAAAGAGACTGTGAGACCATAAGCCACTAAAGAGACAAAACTTATCCTCTTGGAAAGGGTGCAGCCTCTGCCCCCTTCACCCCTGATTGGCCCCTGGAGGATAGCAAATGACAGGTAAGATTCCTCAAAGAAAGAACAACCTACAACAGGCACAGTCATGAAGGGGCCATCAGGGAAGAACTTGTCCTCATTCTATCTGTAAAAAGTCTCCTAATCTCTGGACTGCCTTGCTTCCCCATCCTGACCTCAGGCCTGAAGCAATGCTGGAGGAGAGTGCAGCCCTGTGCTGGAATGGGTGGTTTCTGGGGGCAATCAGTCCTGAGAGAGAATACATTAAATCCTGTGAAACCTGCTTTGCTAAGAATGCCCTCGAATTCATGTATACTAAATGTTTAGGGTCCAAACACAAAATGAGTTTGTTTCCCCAGATTTTATGGCCAATTGGGGTCACCAGACCCTGATTCAAAAGGACCCTTGTGATCCCAGAAATGTTATCTGTAAACCACATCTCCTTTCTTTGATATGTATTCCTATGCAAGCTAAACTCAATAAAAGCCCAAGGAAAAAGGTACGAGGGACTCTTCTCCTCTGTGAGATTAGCCAGCCTTTTCTCCACAAACAGATCGAGTTTTGGTAGTCCTATTCTCATCCCAGGCAGCTGGGAGAGCTCTGCAGTATGGAGTTCTCCCACAACCTAATACATTTCTGCTTTATTATAAAAGTATAACTCAGGAACAGCCCAATAAAAGAGATGCGTAGGGCAAGATATGTGCTCAAAGGAGCTTCCACACCCTCTGGGCACACCTCTTTCACCAAATCTCCATGTGGTCAAACCTTGGAACTCCCCAAATTCCATTCCTTTGAGGTTTTAGGGAGCCTCATTACATTGGCATGGCTGACTAAGTAATTGACCATTGATGACTGAACCTAATCTCCAGCCCCGTTTCCCTCCGTGGAGGTCCAGAGGTGGGACTACAAGTTCTAACTCCCTAATCACACGCTCCCTCTCTCAGGTTACCTAGAAGCTTCCCCAAAGTCCTCGAAAACATAACAAATGACATCCTTACAGCTCTCATCACTTAGGAATTTGCAAGGGTTTTAGGAGTTATGAATCAGGACTAGAAAAAGAAGACCAAATATATATTTCTTATTATAAATCACAATGCTACAAAAGCAAAATCAAGGCAGACTTATGGAGATTTGGCATATCTATGAAAATCCTTGTTATATATGGCTAATTCTCCAAAAAAGGAAAAGGTAGGTGATCATTCTTAGGCACATAAATCTTAAATTCATAGTTTTAGGTGCAGTATCACTAAGACTCAGATATTTTGGGACAAACTAAGTGACCTACTTTTAAAAGGCTCTTTGAAATTTTTTCTTTTGGAGAATAACAAACAAACCTACTTTCATTAGTGAAAAAAATGGAGTGAAAAACCTATGATGCAGTAGTCTCACTACCATAACTATGAGCTCCTACAAAACACTGAGTATTTTAAAATTTTAATAAGCAGTGATTCAACAAATAACATGGCATGTAACTCTAATATTAGTAACCAATATGCTTTTCTTGAGGCTATTCTTTAATAGTAGTACTAAAGTTTAAGTATAATACTTTTAATTAATAAATTAACTTTTCCTATATCAGGTTGCAATTTATATCATGATTTCATAGTGATTCTTCTTATGAAACTTTAGCCCCCATCTTATAGAAAGAAGATCCAGAATTCAGATGAAGTCAAGAGTAGAGGGTCAGTCTGAATGGCACTGCTATTCAGAGGATCTGAGAGACTCCTGAAACTGTAACATCTACGCCACGGCACCTCATGCAGTCCAGTTGTCAAAGAGGCTACTACTATTTGACATTTATTTTAGGTATATAGTGGATATAATACTATGCTAAGTACTCTACATATACCAATCCAAAGAGATATCCATCAATCTGTAGTCTGTAATCAAAGATATACTGAAACAGAGCTATTTCTGGACGTGTAACCTCTTTTACCTACCTCAATATATTCAGGCTGGGAAAGGTGCCTAACAGCCACATACTGTAGCTGGATTGAACCATGTAAGGGTCACAATCATGACACAGTACTGTATAAGCAATTTTTTTAAAAAGATGCCCTTATACAAACGGTTTTTTCACTCTGAGCCAAGTAACATACATCCTCCATCATACAGAGATCTATTATATGAACATCTGCAGTACCATTTGTAAGGCAGGAAATTGAATTCAGTGTATGATCCCAGGGAACTCATTAATGTTAGTCTTCTGGGAATACATATAAAAGATGACTATACCTCAAAGCTGCTGCCTAAAGACTGAAACATAAGTTAGAATAAGTTAAGAAACAGGCTACTCTGACCCAGTCACATATCCTGAACCCATGTCTTTACCCTGTTAATATTCTCTGAGCTAAGGAAAAATTCAAACTATTAGGTTTCTTAAAAAATAGAATGACTATTATTAATATAAATAAGCAAATAAAGTTGACAACTGCTAACACTGCACAAACTCATTACAGACCTGCTAAAGAGGTTCAGAGTACACCTTGCTAACACAAAAAACTATAAAAATTTACCAAGAAAAATTACATTTTTAATAATGAATCAAATCACTGATATGACAAAAATTTTAATTGTTAGCTCTACAGAAAATTGACCAAGAAATTAATTGGCCTAAGGGAGCCTGCCATAGAAAATACTTTCACAAAGTGGCCCCAGGGTTAAAACTGCAGGTCAAAACATTCTGTCTCTACTAAGTATTTTTGAGAACAGAGTATTGACATTCTAGCATTCTGGAACAGGAATATGTTTGAAAAGAGATCCACTGCATTTTTACAGTTTATTCTTCATTGCCTGCTTCATTTGTAATACCAGTTAGAATGGGAAGGACTGGTGAGAATTTTATAAGTCAATAAAATATTCTATTAGGCCTGCAGGCTGCTTGAAGTCACACCATTATTTTTTCTCTACAAAAAAGTAAATATTTGAAATCATTTATTATTATTTTTCTATTTCACAAAACCCAGGGGAAAAGATACTGATTAAAATAACTTTTGTTAAGCTATAAAGCTATAAAGACATTTTTGTAAAGATAGTAATTGTTACTGTTGCTAGTATTAATGTGATCAGTGCACAAAGCTGGATAATTCATAGAGTACTCAGCATTACCTGTCTAGGGCACCTTCTAGGTGTTCATGGGAAACATCAAAATAGTAGTTGGTATGCTCTCCACTAGTAAAAGCATTTGAACTTCCTGCATGCTCACTGAGAAACTGGCTATATTCATTTTCTTTAGGATATTTCTTTGTTCCCAAAAATAACATATGTTCACAAAAATGACTCAGGCCAGGAATATTTGGAGGATCTGACAACGAACCTGAAAAAACAGAAAAACACATATAAACAATAAATCATTTTTTATGTTGAAAGACACCAAGTATGGACAAGTTACAGATGATGTGAAACTTCTGTTAGCATGATATCTCCAACCACACAGTTACAGAAAGTTAAGCATGGCTGTTCTAAAATGATATTATTTAGTTCTAGCCCCATCTTCTGACAGTAATTAGTTGCTGACCTTGGGCAGATTTTAACCTCTCTGGACATTAGGTTCCTCGCACAACACATTGGAGGGAAAGAATTGGATTTACTGGTTTTATTTTTATTTTTATTTTATTTTTTTCAGGAGACAATATAGCATAGAGTACTGGTTTGGGGGTTAGCTGTGAAACTTTGAGACTGATACTTTATCCATCTTGCCTCAGTCCCTTTTCGATACATATGTAACTTAGAGCTGTGTGAATAAAAATGAGATGATATTTGCAAAGCCTACTACATGGTGCTCAGCAATAATTATTTGTTCAACAAATGGTGACTATTACTTTATTTTCTCAATTTTAAAATGCCACTGAGTTAAACAAAAGCTTTTCAGAGAGAGAGAAAAAAGAAAAACATGCCTCACTAAATGTACATATTGATAAGAAGCAACCTGAGTATAAAACAGCATTAAATATGGAAGAAATGTGTGTGCACAGAAAAATCTAGGAAATACAATATTTCCTGGTGTACCAAGTTTACAAAAGTAAAAGCATTAGAATTGTCAGTAAAGGATGGGAATGAATGTCCTTGCTGCTAGGTCACCTCAGCCGGGAGCCTAACAAGATACTCTTGATAAATGTAAGATTGTTTAACTTAGACAACTGTAGGTTTCCAGTACCTGTACAAGTATACATACAGGGCTCCTGCAGAAAGTAAGGTACATTAAATTGGCAACCGTTAGGTGGGTCTTTCTTTGCACAAATACGGAAAGTTCTAATAAATGTCAGTATTAGGTCAATGAAACTGAACAAAGCTTTATTGACAATTTTAAATTGTACCTATGTGTACATCAAGCGCTGCTGATGACTTATCTGTGGTGGGATCACTGATGAGAAGTACTTTGATGCCATTGGCCAGCTCTAGCCCACGGTATTCTCGCTTATCTTCTGGAGATTTGACAATGTGATTTTCTAGTCTCTTGATAGCTGGATTATTCATTTTGCTGTAGGTCTTTTTTTGCAAACTTAAAAGAAAAAAGTTAATTGTTAGAATGTGGCTTTTTTTTTTTAAAGAACAAAGTAACACATCAGGAAAACACATATATTCCATTGCCAAATTAAAAAATATATACCTGGAGGAAACTTTTTACTGTCTATCTACTGGGTACAATCATTCCACTCCTCCCTCCTACCCATCCTTCTTTCAGAGAGATGTTAACAATACTGTTTTCACAGAGCCATATTTAGGACAGCACATGAATGGGGATTTGAGACAGAATGGGTTGGGCCATGAATTGGTCAATGGGCTGACCTAGAATAGTTTTCAATTACCAATAACTGCTTTCCACATATTTCAGTGGCATCTCCTAGAGTTAATAAGGTGAGAGGTGTAAGAATTATTATTGGGTCATCAAAAACATTGCTCAACCTGATGATATTCAAAGATAGGGCAGATCTACAACTTATTAGTCTGGTATGCACATGCCCAGAACATAGGGAACAACTTCCAATGAGGAAAAACCTGCAAAGTCCTAATGCAAAATAAGAGATCTGGGCTGTCCTATGAGTCATGGCAACAAAGTAGGAAATGTAAAAACAAAGTTGGAAGGACTCCAAGTAATTTTTGTAGTCAGGTGCAGAGGTGAGTGCCAGGGCAGGAACAAGTCCAGGGGTCTTAGCAGAGATGTTAAATTGTCTCACAAAGGACATCCTTCCCTTTCCCTCACAGTCCTCTCCTTTATTCTCTGGGCCAGCTAGAATTACAGTGATGGGAAGGGACTACCAGCACAAAGTCCTGAGGACTATTGCTATGCGGGGATTACTGTGTAGTAAGGGATTTCCAGAGCCTGGGCTACGTATGTTTTTGAGACTAAGAGTGGATGATATTTTTGTCTATGTTGGGAACTGCTTAAGAGACAAAAACTAAGGCTGCTATTAGTAGGTCAATATACTAATCAAGTAAAGCCAAAAACATATTTGAAACTATAAAGGAAAATGACCCTGTGCTAACACATGTGCTTCTCATCTGAAAGACAAAAGAAGTGAATCTGACTGCTCCTTAAAGAATGAGAGACATCAGATTTAAAAGTAAATCAGAGTGCACATAAACAGACATACAATTATATTAGATAAATGCTTTATTTTTTTCTGTTAAAATCTCTGGAGGTTTGGAAAAGTCCAGTTTGCTTTTATCATATAAGCTTCCTTTCTAAAATCATCTGTAACTATTCTTCTGAGTAAGAAATGAGAGACTAAAGAGGTTTGTTTATTTCTATTAAGATTACCCCTGATAAGCCTGGCTGGTGTAGCTCAGTGGATTGAGTGTGGGCCTGCGAACCACAAGATCACGGTTTGATTCCCAGTCAGGGCACATGCCTGGGTTGCAAGCCAGTTCCCAGCAGGGTACTCACGAGAGGCAACCATACATTGATATTTCTCTCCTTCTCCCCTTCCTCTCTAAAGATAAATAAATAAAATCTTAAAAAAAGAAAAAGATTGCCCCTGATATCTTCTTTTGAAAAGAATATTTGGAATATTAAAGATCAGTAGTATGGGTCATACAACGGGTACAATACTGTTTTTTTAAAACAGATAGTACTTTATAGAAGTACTGCTAATAGTCTTGCCCTATTTATAATAAATAGTCTTTACTATTTATAGTAAAAATTTATTGAAAAACAATATAAAATATAATACTAACATTTTTGGAATATAAGCCTGCTGTTGGAAAATTCAAAAGCAATTTATAAGTAAAAAGGCATTATAAACCACTCCTTTCTACTTCATAAGCCATAAATCACTTTTAAGACCAATGTCAAAAGCAGATGGAAACATCTGAGTGCAAAGTCTTAAAAAATGCTGTTTTGTGGTTTAAAAAAAAAATCCCAGGGTAACAGAAAATGGTCTATCCAAGCCTCCAGAGGCAGGTTAAGGTATTTCCCCACGGATAATCTGTTTGGACTGCAGCAAATGCCTTCAGTAAACACCTGGTTTTCAAAACCAGAATTTGGGTTCAATATAAATTACTTAACACAAAGTGAGCTCTAACCCAGCAGCAACATTAAGATTAGATAAGCCACGAGGCAGCCTCCGTTAAGACCCCAGATCCAGAACAGCAGCATCAAGGTGTGTAGCTCAGACAGATCAGCATCCCCAGGTGCAAGGCTGCAAGTTCAATCCCTACCAGAGCACACACAAGAATCAATCAATGAACGCATAAGTAAGTGGAACAACAAATCAATGTTTCTCTCTTACTCCCTCTTCTTCTCTCCCTCTCCCTCCCTGTCTGAAATCAATTTAAAAAAAAAGTTTAAAGAGAGAAAGCTCAGTGTGCACCACAGAGATGCCTACGCTTCTCCCCGCAAGGCTCTACTAGAGGAAGGGAAGGGGTTGAATTCTGGTGATGAATTCCACTGAGTGGGAGCAAAAACTAAAGGCTATTTTGGCTCCATTGCCACTGTTTACACCCAAAGCCCTTTACTGTGCTTGCCCAGCTGGTGTGATTAAGGGAAACCAAAAGTTACAAGTGATTAAAATATAATGATGATGCTGGTGTTGATACTGATGGTGGAGCGCTAACCCACAACTGCACTGAAGAGACGAAACACAGTTCTCTTTGGTAGGACAAACTGCCTTATTCTGTGGGAGGTGAAACAGTCATTACAAATAAGATCACCACCCTCAACTATAGGCTACATTTTGTACATTTTTCAGGATTCAATTTCTCTTGTCCATATTTTCATTATCATAAAGGAAAAAAATGATCAGAGGTATTATGTAACTCACTTGGGCACTGAAGCTATGTCTGATTAATATCCCTGGTGTGGCTAAGAATAAAGAGAAATATTCTATAAATCAAACATAAAAACTAGTCCAACTACTTTTAGACATCTGTATACAAGATCAAGGACAACTAAAAATTTCCAAGCTGGCAATGCTCCCAAATCAAGTATCATGACTACCTGAGGAAGCAAAAGCCAAAAGGAATAATAGCAACATTTTCAAACGAGACCCTCCCCAGCAATCCATATTCAACAGGCACAGGCTGGCTGTACCTGTAGCGTATCTATCAACACATCCTACGACAATGTGATTCTCACCTGGGGAACTGAAGGAAATGATCCGGCACTCCTCCTCCTCTGATGAATTCATCAACAGCCTGCCTGTCTCTGTATTTATACTCACGAGATCACATGTCTATCCATCTCACCTCATTAGCATAAAGCCTTCAAAAGTAATTTTATTTATTGCAAATGTTCTTCAATATGCACCAAACAAAGAGCAAGCAAGCAAGCATTCTGACTTCTCGATGACAAGCTAGTGCTAAATCAAATGCTTTACCAGACATTTACTTGATATTTTTAACGTGTCAAAGTCAAAATCTTAGAAGCAATAAAATTACTTTCAACTTCGGGGACATTATCCTACATTGGAAATGTCATCTTAAGACACAGAATTGTCAATGTTTAGCATTCTGACAAAATTGGAGAGATTTAGTAATTACAGCATTGTTTGGTAATTCTGTTTAGAATTTAAAACAATGACTAAAAACACAGAAGGTAAAACCTGGAAGAGACATTAGATGTTATCCACTTCTTTGCAGTTTGTGGACTAGCAACTCGGACTCTTCTCTGGGAGCTTGTCAAAATGTAAAGTATCAGAAGATACCAGAGACCTACTTAGCCGGAATCTGCATTTTAACAAGATCCCCAGATGTTAGTCCCCTATCTTACTTAGAAGGAAACTGAAGCTCAGGGACCTTAAATCACTTGTCTAGGATCACACAGCAAAGAGTTACAATTAGAACTCAGTTCTTAACTGTGCTCACCCAGCACCCCCATATGGCAACAAATATTTGAGGAGGTTTATTAAGATCCAGACACTACACCATGCGTGCTGTCTATAAAGATGAATATGCCACAGCCCTTACTCTGAAGGAACCCAGTCTAGTGACAGATATGAAAACAAGTCATCTTTTAACTGTGGTGACACAGTTATCCGCCCCCTCCCCCGCACTAGAATCATGAGAGGGAGGGGCACACCAACCCAAGAGGGGAGAGAGGAAAGAGAATGAGTAAAAGCACGCCAAATAAAAGGAAGGGAGGAACAATTGAGCAAAGGACTGGTGGTGAGAAAAAACACAAGGCAGAAAGTGGAAACACAAGAGCTTGGCATCAACAGAACTACAAACAGAACTTCCACTGAGACGATCTAGACTTTTATCTTGACATGCAAAGGCCTAAATTTCAGGTTTGCAAAAACAACTTCCCAAGTAGGTCATTTCCAAATTCTCATACCAAGAACAAATTTTTCTCTGCAAATAATCCTTTCTTCAGATGACCTTTTACAATCTTTTTTTTTTTTCATTTCTCTTTAAGTGTTTCACAGTGTACTGAATGGACAGAAACTTTATTTTGCCCTTTGTTCCCTGCCCACGACAGTCCCAGACATAGAGTTAGACCTGATCCATTTCTAATTCTAAATAAATGACCTATAAACCCAAACAGGCAAATGATCATGCTAATAATCAGTTATGTATCAAAACCTCCCTTCCGGGGAATCCATCCCCCCCCTCCCAAACCACAGGTGGAAGCTGAGCCTGCCCTGTGGCACTCCTGAGTGAGGGACGTGTCCAAGGAGAAAATGCCTGAAAACGGAACCACACCACAAACATGTCTTCCCCACAGAAAGCAGAATGTGAAGGTAGTGATGGTATGAGCCCTAGCACGCCTCGTTGTAAGACTCCATATTCCCAAATGCTATTTACATTACTTGAGCTAAAAAAATTACATTTCTCAGGGACCCGTCTACCCATCGCTCTTCAGTTACAGCACACCAATACCTTGTATGCCAGCTGCCTCACAAAGGTGGGTACAATCTAAAATCCAGTCAATTAAACCCTATTTTCCCCTGATGAGAGGCTTTGCCTTTGTTCTAGGCAAAATGTCAGCTGCTCTAACTCTGTGCCCTCTGGAAAGGGGTTTACAAGAAAAAATAAACAAACACTTAAATGAATAAGGATGGT